GAGAAGCGGCGATCCAAGGAGTACGAGCACGTGCGCCGCGACTTGGATCCCAACGAGGTGTGGGAGATCGTCGGAGAGCTGGGCGACGGCGCCTTCGGCAAGGTGTACAAGGTGAGCGGGGAAGCGGAGGGCAGCCGGGACGCGGAGGCTCGGACGGGCGCCGCCGGGACCGGGCGAGATTCAACTTAGCTCGGCCCCGTCCAGGAGGAATAGGGTGGAATAGGGGTTGAATAGCCCGGCTAGTGAGTCTGAACGCGCGTCTAGGGCTGCCGGGTTTACGGACGCCACGAACGCACAGCTGCTTTACAACTTTGCGCGTCTGTGTATATAGGAGACACCAAGCGAGGATCCCATTCACAGGGCAGTCAGCTAGGGGCGACCCTGCCTTTTTCGGGGGTTCGCTCCCCTCCGGCGACGTAGCCTTCCCCTCCCACTCCACCATGGAGAGAGATACCCAAGAAAGGCGGGAAGCCATCGGTCCGTCCTGTTCCACCCCTGTTTTGTTTCGATAACTAGTCCTTCAATCATCCTCTTTAAAGAGGAGACCTATTCGTTCCTTCTTCACTTTAACTCCTCTGAAGATTTATTCGCCCATTCACGCGCCTGAAACGTACCTACATCCAGACACATGCACAGGTGGTCCAGACACATGCACAACTTTTGAAATGGGCACAGATCCGAATGTGCTGTACCCTCCGATTTTCATACTTGCTTGGTTGGTTGGTTGAACACGTAAAGCTCAAGTACAGGTGCCTATACTGTACAAATATATGTAGGTGTGTGAGTTCGATTCTGCACTGTGTCTCCCTGACGGGCTGGTCTCTTCCAGCTCTGTACTGTAGTTCCAAGATTATATTGTTGTCCTTGCTTGTTTATGTGTAGCTTATGTACAAGGTAGGCTCTTGCAACCTGTTGTATGCAGAGAATTGTCATACACAGCTATGTATACTTTATAGCAAAGTACTTGAGCATTAAACATTTGAAGTGAGCAATAGTTGATTTCTAAGGCTTATCTGCTCCAGATTACCGTTTCCCTCAGTGGCTACCTTCTGGAAGTGCACCAGCAGAGCAAGAGGACAATTGCTGATTTCCACATCCCTTTGCCTCTAGAAACTGGTGTTCAGAAGCACACTGCCTCACATTGAGGATGTCCTATATAGTCATTGCACAAATTTCCTGAGGGTTAACTGAGTCAACCCAGTTGCAGCAAAAACAGCGAAGGCAGCAGGGAGATCACATAAATTGTGGTAGATGATGGATAATGAAGTGCTGGGCATGTGTCAGTCATGCAACCCCACACCTTTCTTGAAGGAGCACACACTCTGAGCATGAGCAGCATGGGGCACTGTGGAAGGAAACCAAGCAGATATTCAGAAAAGAGAGACCTGATTCCCGATTCAAGACTCGTGTAATACTATAGGAAATGTCACACTCTCTAGAAGCAGAGTGGATTAGAGAGGAGATTACAACTCATCTGTGCATAGCAGAGGATTTTCTTATACATACACCATTCTTAAGCATTCTTACATAGAATCTAAGCTGAAAAGAACTCGGTAAGCAACATTCACATCCTCACTTGTTATATGCAGTTCATTAAAGTTTATGCCAGGTAAAACATGTTGGGCTTCAAGATATCAGAAAGGCAGTTTGTTATATATAGCCATCAGAAGAACTAACAGGCACTAACAGTGGCAGCTATTGTCTCCTTCCCTGCTTTCCGCTCTTATCCTAGCCTTAGGTTTACAGTATAGGTAAAGTTAAATACCAGCCCTTGAATTTGGGAATTCTTTTCAGGGCCTGTTAGTTATGGTACCAATATTCAACAAATTGTCTTATGGCACCTATGGAGCCTAACAAGTTTCATTTGGCATAAACTTTAATTAATAGCTTATTGGAACTAAGGAATCATATAATACCATATATTTCCATGTATAAAACAACACTTTTTTCCTAAAATAATTAAAAGAAAAATTGAGGGTCATTTTATACACAGAAGTAAGGAGGGGGGGAGGGATCAAAGCACTTTGATCCCTACTTTCCCTGTCCATGTTTTGGAAAAAAAATGGAGGGGAAAAGCAATTCCTGCTTTCCCCCTACATTTTCGTTGCAAAAAGCAGCTTTCCCTCTCCACGTTTTGCAATGAAAATGTAGGGTGAAAGCAGGAATCACTTTCCCCCTCCATTCTTCTTCATGGCCTCTATGAATTCACACAATTGGGTTGTTCTGCACCTGTGCTGAACCTCTCGGAAGTTTATAGAGCTTAAAGACACATTATTAGTGGGGCAAGAGCTTAAAGACACATGATTAGTGGGACACTCCATGGAGCGCATGCTCCGCCCGTCACTGATCCCCTCAGTTCCTTTTTTCCACCGTGTTGGCTAGACCTGTTTCGGAGACTAGAGCGATCTGTTGAATTAATATTTCCATTGAACCATCGTTTACTTGATTCATCTACTTTTCTGTTATCTTCTTTGTTGGACATTTCCCCTGTGAGTTTATTCCAGTTTTTTCTCTGCCCGCGTTTTCCAATCCCGCCCCATGACTGTTTTTCCCTCCTCTTTTTCCCGCTCTTTTATGCCTTTCAAGTGGTGTGTTCTATGCGCAAATAAAATCCCGCTCACCAACAGCCACAACCGTTGCCCTTTCTGTCTTGGGGAACAACATACTACGCACTCCTGCTCCGAGTGTAAAAGGCTAACTAAACCAGCACTAAAACTGCATTTACAAAGACTGAGATCTTACCTCTGGGAAAAATCTCTACACCCACCTCCAATCGCTATGGAGTCTGCACATTCTCCAGACCCTCGACCAGATTGGCACAATCCACCCATTCCTGCTTCCAGCCCAGTGACTCCTCCTCCTCACCATAAAGAGAAGTTGAAGTCCACTTCGAAATCCATGTCGACGTCCAAGTCCTCGACTCAGTCTCTAGACTCTTCTAAGAAGAAAAAAGACAAGACTAAGAAACAAAACAAAAACCAAAAAAACTTCAAAGTCCACTCAGCTTGACCCACCACAGCCAACTCTTCCATCTCCCATCCTGGAAGAATCATCTAGAGATGCTCCAGGCTCTCTGTCTGACAGAGATGAACCATCTCTACCTCCAGCCCAAGCTCCAGCCTCTGCTGCGAGCTTCTCACTGAGTGTTGACTTCTCTCTGGCTGAAGTTCATTCCAGTCAAGCCTCGGCCCATTCGAGCCCATCAGGGCGGGCAATTCCAGTTGAACTATCTGGCTCCGATTCGTCTTGCTACTCTCCTAGCAAACACCGCGGGAAGAGATAACATCTATCACCTGCTCTGTACGACCTCCCACACCGGGAGTACTACTATTATCATCAATCCTCTCGACACCACTTCCAAGATGATAGAAGAGATAGATACTACCAATATGACCTGACAGATCTCAAGAACAAGTATATTATGATGAGTCTAACTGAGTCCGCTATAATTTACTGTATCCACCCCGATACTCACCTTCACTCTGTCCATCTCCTCCTCGACATCGACACTGGCCTCAGCATTCGATACCAACTCATACAACCCTTCCATCTAAACCAACCTTGAAACGCCCTTCATCAATTATAAAACATCCTCAATCAAAGTGTTTTAAGCATTCCTCTAAACATCTTCCTCAGACATCACTGCAAGTTACTACCACTTATAAGGGACCCCTCTTCCGCCTACTGACACGGGGAGGAAGTTACTACCACTTATAAGGGTCCCCCTCTTTCGCCTACTGACACGGGGAGATATTCCACACAGATGGTTCCCACAACACAGCCTTCTTCCTCCACACAAATATCGATGTCAAAACCCCGACACCAATCTCCCTCTGCTTCCTCCACACAAATATTGATGTCAAAACACTGACACCAATCTCCCTCTTCATCATCTCCATCGATCCAGGACCTTGCCTCTTACGTATCACAGGAATCACAATCTAATTTACTGACACTGACTTCTGATGTCACTGAGAATCACCCACCCTCTCCATCAGAGGATTTCACCTCTTCTCAACTAGTCATGAGAATGGCTAAAACTTTACAACTTGAAATTGAAGAACCACCACCATCTAAACAGGACTTGGTGTTTGACCATATTAATCAAGATAAAAGGCCCCCTCTCAGTTTGGCATTCATTCTGGCTATGCTTGATTTGATCAAGAAACCATGGGACAAACCTCCCTCTTCCTTACAAATTTCCAGACGTATCGAAAATCATTACAAGACCCACAGTGCGGATACTACATTTCTCACCAAACATCCGACACCAAACTCCATAATATCAACCCAATCAAGAGCCCGAAATAAATCCTCAATTGCACCTACAAATAAAGAAGGGAGAAAATTAGATATACTCAGCAGGAGGCTCTATTCCCTCACTTCATTTTTTATGTGAGTTGCATATTATCAAGCCGCAATGGAAGCTTACCATAGGCAACTATGGAACAGCATTATCTCAATACTTGAAACAGCCCCAGAATTGGCTAAGTCAGAAGCCCTTAACATCCATGCCAAAGCTTCCACACTCGCCAAACAACAGAGAATTACATCTCACCACACTGCGGATGCTGCCTCTAAAGCTATGGCCACCTCTATTGCGCTCCGGCGTCATGCATGACTTTGATCTGCTGGGATATTGGATGATACCAGATCTAGAATAGAGGATTACTGTTTGACAGGGCTGGAGTGTTTAATGAAAAAAAAAAACAGATGAAGTGATGGACAACCTCCATAAGATCCGTAAAACAGCTTGATCCTGCTCAACCCAGCAGACATACAGATACCAGCGCCCACAATATCGAAGACAACCTTTTTACCAACAACCATACCAACAATTTCAACAACCATACAGACCATACAAACCTCAAACATCGGACAAGCCTTTTCAGGGACCCTCAGCCTCAGCTCCATCGTCCTTTCGAAGCCAGCAACAGCAACCTTGCTGCCAGCACTTTCGGCACCCTCAAAAGAAGGGTAAGCAATACCTATAGACTCTCTTCACCCACTCTCAGTTCTTCAACCCCGTTCCAAATGAGATTGTGTCCCTTCTTTAATACTTGCCAATATATAACTAATGACCAATGGGTCCTTTCCATCATTAAAAACGG